CAAAAAAAAAAAAAACAACTTCTGGGGGTTCATGCATCCATAAGACATTTGAATTTTAGGCAGTTATGAGGTGGAAAGTAATGGAGCACCGAGGGCAAGCCAGAAAACTGTGTGTTAAACCATCTCGAGGGTTTTCGCCCTATCTGCAGAGTGGGTGTAATTAACATCCTGGCATCGTCTGCTGCACTTTGGAACTCTGCTGGCTAAGTTCTTACTTTTTTTTTAATCTTTAAAAGGCATGACAGCTCGAGTCAAGAAGACATGCACCCCTCTCTCTGACCCATCTGCATCTTCTTCCATTAACACTGGGGGGGTGGGGGGAGGGTGACCCATTTATTTTGCCCTACATGGGTCACCTGCACATTCAGGGCAAACAGACCTTCTCCCCTGGTAAGGCATCCTCGACTATCTAAGCTCCCGTCACCTTCCGGCTCCATCCAAGCCCTCGCTCCAACCAAACAAGGTTCACCTGTACATTCAGGCCCTATTCACACTGCGCGATTCGCACGATATCGCGCAAATGCTTGCATTGAGCAAGTGAGAATCACGACAAAATCTGCTCCAAAAAGGGTCCTGCTGTAGCGACACACGACAGCAGGACCCTTTGCCCCATAGAGATGCATTGAAGAGCGATATAGCGCGGTAAATAGCCGCGATATCGCAGGAATTACCGCGCGATAAATCGCTCGATGTGAACGGGGCTTCAGGGCCAACAGACCTCCTCCCCCGGTAATGCATCCTCGACTATCTAAGCTCCCGTCACCTTCCGGCTCCATCCGAGCCCTCGCTATTCAGATGCATGTGGCAGCACAGGGGGCCTAAGTGACCAATCACCAGGCCTGAATACGGTCACATGGGAGGCAATGACATAATACATGTGGGCTCGGATGCCAGGTGGTACTGTAGCTTACTCAGGAGGAATCCTGCAGCAAAGAAGGGGCAAAGAAGCGCGATCAGCGGGTATATCTTGCTGGGAGGGGCTATAAAGAGGCACTATCCCAGGAATGGGCAGGTCTGGAGGATATTATTATACAGGATTTATATAGCGCCAACAGTTTGCGCAGCGCTTTACAATATAAGGAAGACATTACAGTCACAATACAATTCAAGAGAAGATGGTAAGGATATAAAGAAGAACGAAGCAACATTCATTGGATTAAAA